GACAACATGGGAAAAGACATACGGTATCTCTTGATTCATCTCGAAGGTCGGCCAGCACCACATAATTCGGCCGGTCTTCCACTTCTGCGCATTACATCCAGGGTATCCTGGTATGAGTTATCGGCCATGGATATTGGCCATAGCGTCAGCTTCCGACCATCGATGAACGACCGACCAATAGGAAATGCTCACATCACCGATGTTGAGGAAGGTGTACTTCGGAGGACCGAGCGAGATGTCATGGGAGTCTCGACTTTGGCCCGAACGTTCGAAGAGACTCAGCCATACGGCCCATTCCCTCGCCAAAACAAACGCACACGGTCTCGTTCGACAGTGGCAAATTCAGCATCGCCAGCTGCGCCGCATGCGCAATCTCAAGCCACTGCCTCGGCGTCCAATCCACCCTCTGGCCCGCGCTCTATGGCTGGAGGATTCGATCGGCTGGCGGCTCTGAACTCAGCAATTGATTGGAGTCTGGAACCTGAGCAGCGCGAAGCGAGGCCTGCAGCACGACCCACTCAACAACCTCTCACGAATCCACTCCCGCCCCCTCCACCTACGCCTACCCAGGCCCAAACAGACCGGGCTACTTCAGATGGTATCAACGCTCGTACGCCTGCGCAACATCACACGGAGACCGATCAGCCTGGTACAATAGTCACGAATGCTAAGCGCAAGAGGGACGACTCGGAAGAAGGGGCTCTCAAGAATGGCCGACGCCAATCCATTTGATTCGTCTCCTACAGGATTCCCTTTACCTTTTCCAGATATCCCGCCGACTTTCTGGGGCGACGTCGATTGAGTTTCTTTTCTGTGCAGGATTAGCGTTGCAATCCGCGCTTCAGCTTTCTCGAGCCATGTTATCATTTGCGCACTTGTTCAAGCTCATGAAATCTCTGCACGTATCGTACCCAGCACCTTTCCTTCAACCTCACGTCCACAGAATAGCATAATGTCTTATCCTGTTCTACAATATCATAGTCAATGGATAGCCTATCAGTTCAATTCTAAGTTCTCACTTTGCGCTCCTCGTTCTCAAATATATAAAGCCGACGAAGCGAAGAAAACCTTGTCCGAACCTGTTTAGCGTTCAGACCGTACTCCCGCGCAAAAGTCCACTACTGCCTCCGTCGCGAGTAACCACTCCTCCGTCACCTGCCCATTATTGCCCTGTAGTCTCCACAACGCCCCCTCCCCAGTAGCAACAATAAACTCATTCATCTCACACAGCCATCGCGGGCTCTCCGTCAGCCAAATAACCGTCCAGCTCGCCAGATGTACCAGCCCATCATGTCCCAGTGACGCAAGTCCTGACATCACCCACTCATACCGCTGCGACACGAACGCTCGTAGATCGTGAAACATTGCGGTGGTGACAGATGCGACCGTGGGGAAGTGCGCATCGACCAGGGTGCATATGGTGTCGAGAGTGATGCGCGAGAAAATGTGTGCGTTGACGAGCAGGCTGACGAATAGCTTGAATGTGGGCTCGTGGAGTAAAATAGTAATGAAGAGTGCGAAGAGGATGATTTTACGGAACGTAAGGGCCATATTCGCGATTCCAGCGTTGACGCAGCTATCGGTAGAATGACGGCTTATCGAGACTGCCCAGGTGCTGGTGTTGATGATGCCGCTGGAAATGGACGCTAGTCCTGATCTGGTCACGCGCCTTGGCAGGTAGGCTGTCAGGAAGGTAGAACACTTGGAGGTTCCACAAGCTGCATATCGCTAACAGAGGCCGTTTAATAGCACTCACTCGTGAATCGAATGCTCAGCCCGGATCTGAAAGCCAGCTGTACCAGTCGAATTTCCCGGCGATCTAGCGTGAATGTGATGGTCACGTGACAGATTGTACTTTCACTGCATTGCACACCAATCGTCAGTTCGAAGACGGATTGATTCGCATACGTTTTGAACGCGAAGAAACGATAAGGCAAAGCTCTAAGTGCTCAGATATTTGTTTGTTACAGTTCTTCCACCCACACTTCACCCGTAGAGGCAGCTACCGCTTGGTTTCCCCGTCCATCGTCTGCGCAGTGCAAGACAACTAAGAGCCACTACCACGCGTCAATAACGACTCGTTTTAGAGCTCATGATCAATGGCAACTGGTACGTACGGAGTATTCGGGTCCGGCGCGCCTTCGACAAGCTTGAAGCCACCCGGTTGCAGGTATTGGAAGACCTGTTTCGGATCGTACTTCTTGGATATCATCATCAGCCTTTGCTTGTTCTTCGCTCCGTAGCTGCCGATGGGGTCTTGGTATTCGGATGCGTAGTTCAGATACACAAAGTCGTTGTCCAGGTTCCTCCGCTTCGCTTCCGCTTTCACAAGTTTGATGACGTTGGCAATCACACTGTGAAACTTGGGCTCGTCATCTTTGTTGTTCCAGGCGGCGTTGAAGTTGAGTACGAAGTATGGGCCGTTTGCTGGGTCGATGCCTAGAGCATTTCCACCGTTCTTTTGCATGGCTTTGGTCGCGCTTTCCGTGATGGGCTGGATGGCCATGATGAGTAGGATCTTCTCGACGTCGGCGACCGTGGCTTCTTGCGTGTAGAACGTATCGACGATGAAATTGAGCAGTTGTCTATCCATCTTCAGACTGATGCCCCACCACGTCTGGAAAGCACCGGGAGCGGGAGCGCCCTGATCGAGGAGATCGGCCATGCCGGACATTGGGCGAAGGTCAGTCGTGTCGTCGATGGCGGTAATATTGCTCCAGCCGGAGAATACAGGCGCGTTCGCGATAGGTTTTGCATAATGAAGGTTGGCGAAAGCGACCTTGCCGATTCCAGGTGCGCTGGCGAAAGTCTAGACACATCAGCTATCCGCGCGTAGGGAGTGAAATCAGCGCACTTACCACAATCTGGGCGGCATCTTCATCCTTGACGGAACCAGAGACTGTGAACTGATGGATCGCATCAAGAACCGCGGGGTATGCATCTTCGAGGTACACCCTCTGGCCTCCCCACATCTGGCCAAGAGGGAAGGCATCAAGCTTGAAGTTTGTAACAATCCCGAAATTGTTGCCGCCTCCTCTCAGTGCCCAGTATAGGTCAGGATAAGAGGTCGCGCTGACGTTGATCGCAATACCCGAAGCCGTGACTATTTCGAAACTCGCCACGTTATCACAAGCCCAACCGCGCTTGCTCGCGAAGTGAGATATGCCGCCTCCGAGGATAAGACCAGGCACGCCAACGGGAGCCATCTAGTTCTGCGATCAGTAACGAGACCATGAAGTTGGCGCAGATGCGTAGACTTACACGTCCTCCTGCGACACTCAGACCGTCTTTCTCGACAGCATTGTAGACATCTATCCATCGGAGTCCAGGACCAATGTCGACCGTCTGCTTATCGGAGGCAACAACAGCCTGCTTGAAGTTTTCAAGCGATACTGTGATTCCATCTTCGATACTAGATGCACCGGCCCACGCAGCATGGCCACCGCCTTTAACGGCGAAGGGGCATTGGTACAACCTAGCCGCAAGCACCAATGTTGAGACCTCGATTGTCTTCGTGGGTTTGAACACACAAGAAGGTCGTACTAAGCCTTGTTGAGCAGACCAGTATCCTCCGGTGAAGTTACTGTACGTGGCTGCTCCTTCAGCCAAGACCTTGTCGGTGCCGAAGAGTATCGCCAACGCGGTACACTAGAGTCTGTCAGCTTGCGCAACCCCAACTTCGTGATATTGTGACAATACTTACAGCATGTGAGCATTGCGCATCCGAGACACGGGCATTGAGTGCATTCGCAGGTTCTGGCAGAGCCGAGACGTCAACGCCGAGGTTTTCGAGAGCCGCAGTGATGTTGAAGTCTTGCGGCTCAAAAGCAGCGCCGCTGGTTTGTGCTCCCACACCAGCTGCAAGAGCTGCAATGGAAACAAGACATGTGACCTTCATCGCTGCTGATAGCTGCAATCAATTCTGCGAGTTGGGTCACTTGGCAGCGCGTTCATGAGCAATAGCCTGCGCGTTTGGGTCCCAAGGGCGCGTCGAGGTCTGGGGGCCCGGGGCTCTCTCACTTGGGGGCCTCTTTAACAGCATACCAGTGCGCCGCATCCTTCTGCACCTCGCTTGGTTGTAAGCATCTAATTTGAGGTACGTGTCCGATGATTGGCGTAATGCTAAGCCTCCTGCAAGAAGACGGTTGGATCCTGCGGGATTGTGGCGATGTTGTGAGCGAAGCCTTGCCGTATCCTGCACGGAATGGGCACCTGGGGCAGGCTATCGGCTATCCCTAATATGGCCTAGTGTGGTTTGGGAGAAGTCGCGTCGCGCAATCCGTCGCCGCTATGAAGTTTACACGAACAAGCAGCCTATAGCACTTTCAAGGTCACAACAACATTGATTTCGAGAAGGAGATGAACCAAAATCGAACAGTGATGCGCTCTAATAGCAGAAGGATGCTCGGAACGGGGATGGCTGTGCCGGCCGAGCGGCAGAGGCGGGACGACCCTGGAAATGAGAACCTCACTCTCGGTACCTAACATCGCCCCCACCAGACTGTGAACGATACTGCAGGTACCCCAAGGCCCCGCTGAACGACATCCTCAAGTGCCTCGATGAGGGACTTTCAAAGTGGTGCGCTATCGAATGTTACCGATGAGGCAACCATGAGCTCTATAGCTTTTGTTAGACTGGTCGCACGATGGCAGTGCACAATGTGTCTCCGCAACCGTGTTGTGCAATACCGGTCTTCGTGAGATATGCAGTAATACAGACCCACGTCGCAAAGTACCCTGTACGGCAGATCAATCTTATCAAGGTAACCAGGCGCTTACGGGAATCTAATCGTATGGCTCCGCTTCGCAAGCGGTCAGATGTCAAATACTTGATCTGATGTATCCGTACGTTCATGCTGGTGCTATTGATGTAGAATTCTCACTACTTCATCGATCGCCTCACACCTGGGCCCCCAAATACCTGACGGCATACAGTACTGGAACGCTTCACCGCGTCGGATGTTCAACAACACACTTCCGATATACCCAGACCAGATACCATGACGTCCCAACAGCTTGCAGATGTCACTTGGGACAAGAATGCACCTCCAGCGACCATGAGCAGACGCGAACTGGAAGGCATCAACACCGCTATGCTGACTCTAACGTCTTTGGTCTTCGTCGCGCGCATTGCCATTCGATTATCCAAGCGGAGAACATTCGAGCTGCAAGACTTCTTTTGCTGTCTATCTTATCTGTTCTATGTCGCAATGCTCGTCATGTTCTTCAAGGAGAACGACCCGCTTTATCGAGCCGAGCGTGTTCAGAGAGGCGAGGCGCCGTTGTATCCAGGGCTCCGTGAGTACAACCATCTTTCCACACGCAGACAAAGCGGCATGCTGACTGTCTTGAGTTCATGATGCAGGAATGGTCTATCGATGGCTGACGGCTGGTCAATTGCTGTACTATTCGTCCCTGACAGCAGTAAAGCTATCACTGTTAGCCCTATACCGACTTTTGTTGAACAAAGCCTCGCCAAAGTATAACATCATGTGGTGGGCGATTTTGGCCTTTTGTGTTTTGGTAAATGCGACGCATGACCATTCTTTAGCGCTCATTACTAACAATCGAACAGTCTTATGTGGGAAGTGCTATGACAACCATCTTCGTCTGCGACGACCAAAAGGCGAAGTACAACTACGGTATGTGCGCGAAACCGGATGAGCAGAAACGCGCACAGTTTAGCCTATGGTTTGCGTACGCAGTAGATGTCGCTGGTGACCTTGCAGGTTCGTATGCCAGTCCCATCGATCAAAGAATTGTACTGACAAATGTAGTAATGTTCCTTCCGTTTCGCATGACGTGGAACCTTCGGCTACCTAGGGCCCAAAAGCTCGGCATCTTCATCTTGTTCGGAAGTGGCTGGATTTGCATCGTATGTACTCAACGAAGCATTTCCCGCATTCCAATGAATATACTGACACTACTATTGCTAGGTCTTCGCCACGCTTCGTGTAGTCCAAGTTAGCGTCAAAGACGGTCTACCAAAGATACCGGACCCAAAGTGGTTGCAAATGTGGACCGTCATTGAGACTTCGATGGCAGTCATTATTGGCTGCGCTCCAGCCTTCAATGCTCTTCGTCGTCGTTCTGAACACCACAACGTTGAGATAACGTCAGTTGGTCTTGATATCGAGACCGCAGATGGCGGCCATACGATGCGAGCAGAACCTTACATGCGAGTCCTGCGAACGAATGAGCAAGGGAGTGAAGAAGCACTGCATCCACGTAGCACGCCTGGACTGGCTTTTTAGGTTGGAAACTTTTCCCCGATTATCACTATCAGCATGTCGTATAATGGGCTACTGTCAAGAACGTGTTTTACAAGTGGCCTCCGTCCTGTGCATCGGGCTATGAGCCAAAACCTTCGCACACGGCCCGAGGCCCGAGTCAAGAAGAATCGCATTCCGCCTGTTTGTTTCCTGAAAGTGAGAGTGAGAGTCTTTCCACTGCTGCGGTGACGTCAGTCAAAAGCGCGCAGTCACCACGAGTATCATCCATGATCTGTGATCTCTCAGTCAGATATCATTGATCCAGACTTTGGAGTCTCGTGATCTTGTTATTGTTCACGTTCACCTTTTCCGAATCGAGACGACAATAGCCAGTGTTTGTGGTCGCGCGGCGTCATCGACGAGTGTAAACAACGACGCGTACACTGCGCGCGCTCCCACTCTGTTTCACCTCCGCACTTTTCTCGAAAACTCTTCCAGTCACCACTCGCCGTCGCGCAATCTTGCAAGCTTGGCTCTATGTTGCATCTTGTCTCTCATTCAGACTTCCCTGGCTCTTCTACACAACCATCCAAACCACACAAAACACCACCGCTCCGACCATATCAATACAACCCACAGGAAGTAAACAACCCAGAAGTGTACATCGCGTCAACAACTCCCTAACTCACGTTTCGACGCGAAGGTAGACTGCAGGGTATTCGATTTTCACATTGGATTTGGTGCTTTCGCCTGTCAGCTCACACAGCAAGCAAGATGCCTACCTTGCGCAAAGGGGTCAGAGGCGCTTCCAAAATTCACCTCTCGATTCATACCCCAACCCCGACAATGGAGCTCGAGCCCCAGTCACAGCCCTCCGTCATTTCCATCACCACATGGAAGCGCAAACGATGCGCGGATGAGCAGACCAACCCAGCCCTCACATCACCAGCCAAGAAGCTCAAAACATCAGTAAAATGCACCCAAATCACTACCGAAAAGCCTACAACTACCAGTCGCAACACACCCGGCTCAAAATCCACGCTCATCCCCCGCGGCCCCCGCAAAAAGGCCACTATCGGCGTCAAAGACGAATCCCTCCTCCTCATGCTCTGCGACAGCAACACAACCCCGCGCAAAACAACCGAACTACACTTCCGCAAGATCCCGCACTCCCATATCGACTGGCATAACCCCCACCACATCTCCCAGATAAACGCCTGGCGCAACCAAATCTACGGGCGCGCCGGCCTGAAAGCCCGCTCCGTCAGTCTCTGGTACGAAGCCGAGGAACTGTGGTTCGAGCTCTACTTCCAGCTCTCCATCGTCGAGGCGCGGAAGCGCGGGATCATGCTTCCGGGGAGTAGGCAGGTGAGGGACGCGTTTAATAAGACGTTTGTGGGGAGGGTGATCAAGGGGAGGGGTGGAGAGGATTTGGAGCCGAGGGTGGAGCGCGAGGGGAATGCGTTTGCGTCGAAGTTCAATCGTATGTTTCCGGCGTTCAGGGCGAGGTTGAATGAGTGTGTTTTGGGGAGGTCGGGGGATGTGTTTGTGCCGGTGATTACGTTTGGGATGATGGAGAGGTATAAGGTGATGAAGGAGAGTTTGGTGAAGAGGGGCATTGAGGCTGAGTCTGAGTATGCGGATGGGCTGGAGGAGTGGCGGTGGTTTCTGTCGCATCTGCCAGATGTCGAGATGGAGGCTGTTGTCAAAGAGGAGGAGGTTAGGGAGATGGAGGCGAAAGAGCTCGATGCTGTTGCTGCCTTGGTCAGCCTCGCCAACTCGCCGGTTGACTCTAGGTGTGACTAGAGTGCGTGTTGCGTACACTGTTTAAGTTGAACATCTTGAGCGTTGCTAGGGTTATGAGTACTTCCGGCTTAACATCTTTTCGTAGAACGGAAGACAACCTCACAGTATGAATCAACAGACAAGGAACAAAGCGAGTTGAAGAGACGAGGCCATTGCTAGTGCCTAGATCTCGCCATATTTTCGCCAACCCACACATGTCCACATTGCCTACTCATCGCACCGCAGTGACTTCAGATGTAGCACCTCTAGTCATCAACAAGTTCCACGATGTCGCCGAACTCTTGGAACAGCCACGGTTCCAGGCCCTTGAAAGCTTCAGGTACCGGCTTCTCCTCAACCAGTGAGAAAACGGCCGGCTCATCGCCGAACACGTTCAACATGCCTGCTACCTCCTCGTCCACACACGCGTCTTGTTGGTCGCCGGCTACATGCAGCTCGCGTGGCGTAGCCGTCCGTTGTTGCATGTTTGACGACGTGGATACATTTGCGGGTATGACGTTTGCAATCTCAAGTTCGGCACTGTCTTCGCTGTCAAAGAAAGGCGATCGAGAGGACTTGATTTGTGCTTTGCGAGGATAACCGGGATGACTGAACTCCGGCTTTTGCGGAACGTGATCTTCGGAACCGATCAAACTAGAGTCCATCTGCTTGTCACCTTCTCCGTAACCCATGTAGTCATCGTTGATGGCGTTTTCGAAGGGCTGCATGGGATTAGTGTCGCTTCCACGAATCTCTTGAAGATTTTGAGAATCTGCAAGCCCGATGAAAGCCTCTTGAAGGACAGAGTCGTCATCGTCAAAGGCGTCAGATTCGTGAGAGGCTACAGGAGCTGCAAGCTCGTAGTCCATATCATCTTCCGGCTCTTTTGTGTCACCAAGTGGGTTTCGTTGCGCAGACCGATGCTGAGGATGATCAAAGTCGGCTGATGGCTCATCAAACTGAAATTCACCGTAATCGCTAGAAGCCGAATGTGGCCCAGCAGCAGAAGGGCCCATAAAGTCAAGGCTATGCTCGCCACCTTGGGAGTAGCAATAAGCTGGCTTCTTGTACATGACGGAATGGAGAGAGGAAGGTAGCTCTTTGCCCTGGATAGTTCTGTGCAGCTGATGCAGGCCACGGTAGTCCCTAGGTCCGTTGGTGCCATAGTCGGCTTTCTGCTTCTTTTCTTGTTGCGTGAGATCGAGCTCGTCAATTGGGGCAGAGATCTTTCTCTTAGATGCTGTGAGCTGAAGCTTGGTTTGCTTCTCTGTGCCTTTCGGCGGCGGTGGTTGCTGCGTCGGCTCAGGTCGATCTTCGCCCGATGGTACACGCTTGGCGACACCTTTCTTCTTCGATGGTTTGTCCATACCAGTCTTGCAACACTGGTGCTTGCATGCCTCTCGATCTTTGCACGAGTGATGACAGGCCCATTTGCCATTGGCTAGCTGCACTGGCTCCGGATCGTTGTGTTCAGCAGCAGCAATCGGTCGTTTGCTCTTTCCATCATTCTTGTTCTTGGTCACTTTGTTCTTCGCAGTATTCTTCCGTGTGATGGAATCGATAGGGTCGGCGTAGTTCTCGATGTGATCAAAGTCAAGATCACGGAAGGAAGCGTTGACAAGAGCATCATCATCCACATCACCATCTCCATAGTCATCGCTGGTGGCGGACACCTTTCGGCTTGGTCTTGCAATATCCGTGCGTCGTTTTGACATATTAGACTGATGTGATGTCGGCCGCTCCGTTTCCAGACGCTTTGGGGTTGGAAACATAGAGACAGCGACCTGGGGCTTCACGGCGGCGGCACGCATACTGCCAGCTTGTAACAGTCAGTCTTCGCTCTCATAATCGAGCCGAAATACATGCCTATGCCATCACACATGACGTAGCAGTTGATTGACTGGTCGGGGTTTGTCAAGAGCGCTGGGAATGTGAGGCTTTGGCCAGACCCAAGCTTTGGGCCACTGCGACAAAAGTTAGTACAGCGCCATACCGAGATCGTAATGGCCTACCTGATGCGAGCAAAATGCACCTTACGGCCATCGGAAGTGTCCACCAGAAGGCACACGTATATGAGTTTGTTGTTGAAGCGCTGGGGCGGCTGCTCGTTGATGAAGCCAATGTCTGCTTTGATCTGGATTTTGACCCCATCATGGGTTTTGATTGCCTGAATAGCCATTAGAACATGCACTTCAAAGAAAGATCGCAGACTTGCTGTCGAAGGCTGGGCTTGCAGTGAGACGCGAAGCTTCGGGAACGATCGGACTTTCTCTAGCACGTCGAGGCCAAATGGAGGATTCCGACCAACGAGTGCCTCGATCCGATAAGGCTCGCATCCTTCAAGATCTTCCATGGACTTTAGCCCAGCATTGACGAGCTTTCTGACAGCGACGTTGCCGATGCTTCCAATTTGCTTCATTTGGAGAGGGCTATCGTCCCAGATTCTGGCGCCTAAACTTCTCTCGAGCATGAGAGCACTGTGGATACTGATGGAGTCACCTAGGGCGATCTGACAGTCGATGATGCATCGAATCAGACTGCCAATATTCTTGAAGATGATCTGTGTCTCTGTCGTATATTGAGAACGATGCTTGCCGGCCTCGCCTTCCCAGGAGATATCGGCAGACCCAAGAACGGATTGTACGATGAGAGATACCTTCTGCGATGGTAGATCAAGGTTCACGGGAATAGCCCAGCGGATTGAAGCGGACTTATTGAGTAGCTTGTAGAATGCCTTTTCACCTTGACGAAAGCGTATTGTAGAGTACTCAACAGCTTGAGCGATGGCAGAGAGCTGTGTATGAATGTCAACAAGAACCTCCAAGTAGCGTCAAGGTTGGGTGACTTACAATCTCCGAGGGAGTCGACTTCAGCCCGAGTTCCATGAAGACTTTCATAGTCTCGAAATGTACGTAGTATCGTGCCATAGCATGGCCAAACTCGGTGCATCGGAAGTACCCTTGCCCTGACACAAGATTGGTCTCGCGCAAGAGTGTGATGTCGCGGAAGCATATGTCGTCAACTTGCTCCTCGATGCTTTGACCACTTCGAGCGCCGTCCAATTTGTAGTAACTGGGATTCTGCTGGAGTCGAACGTAAAGAAATGTACCTCTTAGCCATTTCCGAGCTGACTCTAGGTCGCTAATAGTTCCAAGTCCAATCTCGGCGTTCATGTGATCTACCAGATTGAGATGGAGTTTGCTCTCTATAAGATCCTGGCCTGTGACCAGCATTTCGTACCGTCGGACTTTCGCCTGCCTGGTCATAATCACTGCTACAGCTGAGTCATCGTACTGAGGTCGTCCCGCGCGACCCAGCATCTGCATCATCTCCAGGTCCGAGTACTCCTGCATTCCTTCCGCACCCCAGGCCATGGTATTCTTGATGATGACGAGATGGCAGGGTAGGTTAACTCCGACGGCGAGCGTGGATGTGCAGCAGATGACACTGATCTCGCCAGCGATGAAACCTTTTTCGATCTTGGTTCGATCATCGAGATCAAGTCCGGCGTGATGAAAGGCTACACCGGAAGATACGGCGTCTCGAAGCTCCTTGTTCAGCAGCAGGGGTGGCTTAGACGGAGGCTTCCACATGCGATCTCGGTCTGATGCCGAGACCCACCAGTTTGCTATCAGCTTCGCCGTACTGACTGTGGAGTTTCGGGTTGCACAAAAGACCATGAGAGGCTTACGCTGGGAGTGAGAAGCAATGACCTCAGGAATCTTGGCATCGAGCACTTTTTCAAAGCCGAACTCGTTGCTGGAGTTGTACGCAAAGCCTCGAACGTGCTTGCGTAGTTTGACTGGGCGGAACTCTTCACCAAACTTCTCATTGGCGGCTGGGATATCTGGTTCCGACGAGTTCTTTCCTAACCATGCCGCGATGTCATGGAAGTTGGGCACTGTCGCTGATAAAGCCACAAAGCGCACATCCGTGCCGATAGACTTCATCCGCGACACGACCGTCTCAAGCGTGGCACCACGGTCTTCCTTGAGTATATGCACCTCATCGATAAGGAAAACCCTGATGAGTCTCATTAGCTTCTCGTGGTCCTTCCACTTCCTGGTCATGCTGTCCCACTTCTCGGGTGTTGTTATGATGATGTTGGCGCTCTGTACGTTGCGTAGATCCCCAAGGTCACTGTCGCCGGTCAACTCGGCGCATTTGAGACCCAACCTGTTGAACTTGGCTTCCCAGTCACGTTGGCGTTCTGCACACAAAGCCTTTGTCGGTGCTTGATAAACCACTTTGTACTGGCCGGTCGCGTTCGTGGCAACAGCTCGACAGACAGCGAGCTCGAGAATGACGGTCTTGCCACTTCCAGTAGGGGATGCAAGCACGAAGTTGTCATCGGTCCTGAAAACCCGGTCGAAACACTTGGACTGTACGGCGTTGAAGGTCGGGTAAGGAAACACCGTTCGCAGACGATCTGGTAGGGTAGTGACAGGGACCGGGCGGATACCCTGGCACATAGGAGCAGCGCTAGACACATCTTCTGGGTACGTCTGCGGCTCTGGGTGAGCTTTTTGATGATGCGGAGGATTGAGGTCGCCTCTGTGCTGTGCGGCGGATGCGGGTTGCTGGCTAGCATGTGGTCGAAAACCGGGCAGTGCAGCCTTTCCATGGGAGCGCTCATGTTGTTGCCGGTACTCTTCAGCAACAACATGGCCGTCGCCTTCGAACGGTGGGGCCTGTGAGCCGTGTTGAGGTCCGAAATCAGTGACTTGCTCGGCACGCCGCTGACTTGCCCTGAGTGCTGGACTTGAAGACGGGCCGAGCGGCATGTCGGAACTGGACTCTTGAAGCGGAGCGGCATTGTAGGCAAAGCGACCTGGACGGTGATCAGCATGGCCACAGCCACCCATGGTAGACAGAGGTGCTTTCGACTCACTCATTTGACCTCGCATGGCCTGCTCAGGACGCGCATGGTACTCTGCTTCTCAGTCAGCAGGGGCCTCTCTGCAGTCCAGGCTAAAGTACCTTCTTCATCATACATATCCTGGTCACGAATCTGGTAAGACGGCTGCGATTGAGTAGGCGCCGCATTACTAAAGAACGTGGAAGGACCTGGTGCAATTGACAATCTCTTCTTGCCTTGTGCCGCTTGCCGCTGAAAGCCAGGATATGGTTGTCGAAGCACTCTGTCATCTGCAAGTGTGAGCGAAGAAGTTGTGGAAGCGAGGGGACCACTTACCGAATGAATCGAGTTGCTGGCCTCGGTCGTACATACTATCGTCCTCAACCACGTCATACTGGGGGTCGTCATATTGAGTGGCGCGATAGCGATCCCGAGGTGCGACTAGTCTTCCCGGCTGCTTGAACTGAGGCCGAAGCATGTCGTACTGCGACGTGCGGCGTGGAACGCCGAACTGCTCATAGCCGTCATGTGGATAGTGGTCGTCGTCCATGACTGCTACGTAGCTTGATCAGAGGTTCTTTGACAGTGAGGCGTGGCGGAACAAGTTCAGAATCTAAAGTGGGGCGTTGAGTGAGAGTTGAGATGAGAGGGAAGTGACGATGGAGGAAGTCGCAGCCTGACGTGCCACATCCGGATTTGGCGGAGTCACTCGACGGCAAACTTCGATCAAGGAAAGTAGTGAGCGCATAGATCTCTGTCAGTTATGCGTGCAACTCATCCGCGTTTGAATCAATGGTCCCTATATTACTATCACTCAAGCGTCTCGCTTATGAGAATGCCGTTCTACTGAGGGTGAATCCGGTGTTGCTTTGGGAGCGCCTTCATACACTGATGACCTCCGTGGCTTCTTGGTATCGGGGGCGCGATCCACAGTAGTCTTTTCGAAGTCGGCAATCTTGACTGGCAGCGATTGCGAGCCCCGCTCAGGCTTGGTGTAAAGATAGGTCGCGAACAACACGACGCATGTGCCAAGGAAGAACTGCCGATGGTCAGCATCTCAGCCTTGCTATGTCATTAGAGACTTACTGATCGAGTCACCCTGAAGTCAAAGAAGTAAACGCTTGCAATGCAACTAACCAAGATCGAAATCGATGTCGCGAAATTCTTGGCGATGTTATCGGCATAGTTGATGACGAGCGCAACCACAATGCCACCAGCTGCCTGAAGGCCGATAGCCGTCCACACCACCCAATTGTAGCCGACAAAGAACCCAGTCTTCGCTATGAGCTCTCCATCCTTCCATATCACACCAAGAAACAACGACGGAAAGAGCGACCAGAAACAGAGCTGGCAGTTGCGAACCCAGAGTGGTGTTTGCTTAGCGCTCGTGGAGTCCTTCAAGATCTTCTCGAAGGTAACCCCAGCCAAGCCTGAAAGCGCGCAAGAGATCAGGACAGCCATAAGCCCGACTCGGTAATTCATGTGGGGTATCTGGGCTGCGCGATCCGCGTGTATGCCCTCATATGACCCAGACCGTTTCCCTAGCCGCCCTGCGACATTCTCACCAAGGTCGTGCAGCTGCTCCAGCGTCTTAGTCCATGGCTTTGCACCAGATGCTTGTGGTGGTGACGGCGCAGTCGCTTGCGGTACTTGTATGATGGATACACCGATGATAAGAAGCAACAGCGAGAGCCACTTGCGCGCCGAGAGTGTTCTGCCCAACATCAACACACTGAAGATAGCCGTCGTCAGAATCTTGAGCTGGTACGTCACCTGGAACGTCGCGGCGTCCAGGTTACTGACAGCGATATATTGGAGAGAGTTTTGTATCGTGTATAGTACGGCGGGTATCGCAAGCTTCCAGCTTTCGTTCGTAAAGATCGCGGTCGTCAGGGTACGGAAGAGTGTGGGGATCGTCGTGTTCGAAGGAAGGTTGCCTGACATCTCGTGTAATGCCTAGGACGGTCGTGAGCTTGACAGCAGTTCATTCCTCTTGGTAAGCGCCGTACCATAGTCAAGCTGATAGCGAGCTTAATGACCTCATTCAAGAAGACGCTTGTGCTTGCGTGGTATCGTTGCTCTCCAGTCAGAGGCATTATCCTGGAGTAATGCATAACCTGGGGTCGCGTCAGCCACTGTCACTCCCCGCTTGCTTCTCCACAGTATCCGCATGTTCTGTGTGCTGTTCGATCGCGTTGGTGTAGTGGTTCGCGGTGGAGGGCAATCGTACCAGGATGAGGGCAGAGTTTTGAAATATAAGCTGTGCATGGATGAGCTTCTGCGTATACAACGAGTGCGACGAAGATTGGCTTACTGTCACGAGAGAAACATGCTTCATGGGCACCCCGCCCAGAGTTCCTGAAGCCGATCTAACGACCATGGTGGGCTTCGCTCTCGTAGATGTGCTGGAATGATGGGCGTTCGCTAGATGCGCATTTCGAAGGAGTCGATAAGGATAGTACGTAATGTTATAGTGAATGTAAGGTCAAACCGGTGCAGGGCAAACGAGACATGTAGACTGGGTCCATCTTGAGTGCTGTCAGCTGAAGATGGGGCGCGGCTTCCGCTGCTCGAGCATCCGGCGCGATGAGCAGGGATGATTAGCGCTGCCGATCGAGCTTGGCATTCAGGCCAATTTCCGATGACGCGCATCTCGACGCGTCACGGACATTCTCAACCTCAAGACCACCTGGGCACCACGACACTCCATTGCTTGCCATATATGTGAGACGTTGCGCTCAAGTATCCTGAAAACTATGCCAAGAAGAGGGGCTGTTTCAACAGTGCCCTACACGTCTCCGGGTATATTGATTATTGACGGTGGTGTAGGATTTGCTCACGCATCGCCGTCAGTTTTGCCATTACGAGTACGTTGGGTACTTAGTGATCTGATTTAAAAGGTCGCAACTTGCCATGAAGGGCTATGATTGCTGTATCGCGGCATGGTACTTCGGTCGGAGGCTGCCTCTGGGATGATCGAATTTTGTCGAACCGAGGCCTGGCAAGGCTTCTGTCTATGTGCCCGGGCGCCTTGTTCACGATCAACATCTCGTCCTCGTGCATATGGTCTCATGAATGACTACAGATATCGCATATTCGTCTCGATCGGGCGTAGATATACGACTGCGACCGTCATTGGACCCATGGATTTCCGGTGAGAGCTACAGCGCCACCTCATGGCGTTTTCACAAGCATAGCGCCAATCAAACACAACACCAACGTTCCATGCATGAGCTCTCCCTATCATTCGCTCACAGCATAGAGTGCTGACATGGAACACAGCGATCGCCGGTGCTTATCGATGCAGCCACTGGCATACCTCTGCAGGACTTAAGTTGGGGCGCGAAGCATGTTCCGTGATTTCATCCGATCTCACTCATCATCAACCGCTTCAAGATAACGTCAAACCCACAGTGCCCACGGCATCTGATCCGTTTCGTCCTTCACCACTACCGCCGCCTCCGCTACATGAAAATACTCAAGCTCGTTAAGACCACTAAATTGTCATATCGTACATTCCATCAACTGAACTCCGTGGCGTCGTTCGATTCCTTGGCCACAGGCTTGATAATCTCGCATCCTCCATCTCGAACAAATTCTGCCGAAGCCTCAACCCTTTCGCTTTCGAACTGCCATGCCTCCATACCGATATCCAGCTCTTCCGCCTCCTCAAGAAGGCAAACATGTCAGGCTCCTGAGACTCAGTCCTGGTGACTTTTCAGATGACCTTCATGTGGAGCTGAAGCAAGTGCTTTTGGATGGCACTCCCAACTACGAGGCGCTCTCTTACGTGTGGGGCTCGTCGGCTAACCCGGTTTCCCTTCTTGTCGGTCCTTCCCGAAAACACACCATTTCAGTGACGCAAAACTTAGCGACAGCGTTACAGCATCTCAGAGACGCGAACGAGTCCCGAACATTGTGGGTAGATGCAGTTTGCATAGATCAGAGCGATGTGAAGGAACGAAGTTATCAAGTCACTTTGATGAGCGATATCTACCGAGCAGCACATCAAGTTATTGTCTGGCTTGGGCCTGAAGAAGACGATTTTCTCCATGCCTTCAACATGATCCATGCCATTGGTTCCAGCATAGAAGTGGATTGGCACAATCATTTGTTCAAGGAAACGAGCGCAGTCACCAATTCACCTCATAGCTTGGAAGACCAACTACACCTTGACTGGGGTCGAGGGATGGAATTCGAGGGTCTCTATCGTCTCTTGAATCGACAGTGGTTCGAACGTCTCTGGGTTCGACAAGAGATCGGACTGGCAACCCAGGCAATCATCCTTTGTGGCAAACTCGTCATGCCTTGGTACTTGTTTAGCAATACCATCTTCTTTCTTAAAACTCGCTTTGAAACGCATGGGGGAAGCAATCAATGGGCAATTGCACTTAATCCACGTTTGCAATTGGTGTATAGAGTCTGCGATCGCCAAAAGTATTCTCTCCATTCTTTGCGAAGGGAGATCTACCAAGTCAAATGCACGGATCCCCGTGACAGAATTTATGGCATACTCAGCTTACTCCACCCGAATCATCAGAGCATCGGCATAATCCCAGACTATACTCGGAGTGTAGGTCTTGTCTACCAAGATGTCACCCTGAATTACATCAAAAACTGGAACCGTTTGTCCATACTGTTGCAGTGTGAGCTGCAAGATGCGTCCCTTCAAATGCCAACATGGGTTCCAGATTGGACGGTTGGTCAGATAACGGCGCCAATTTCAATATTGGAAAGCAACGCGAACGCTTATCTCAGATCGATCACCAGTAGCAAAAGAGATGGGATCTTGAGCGTTGCTGGTTTGGCTGCGGCGACAATACACGACGTAAGATCCATGCATTTCGGCACCGCGGACTCTGATTTTCTGACCATGCTGATGGTTCTCTGGGAATTGTTCCTATCCAACTCGGCTACCTTCGCCATCACAGAGACATCTTGGTTGTCTGCTGCGTGTGATGCGCTTTGCTGTGGTATTTTCTGCCATGTCATGGTCCCGAATCGCAAAGGCTTCCCAGACTTCAAGTCGGTCCTGCAAACATTCAAGTCTAGATTAACGACAGAACCCTCCGCACTCGGGACTCAGGATTTTGCAGATGATTGGGCCACATATCAAAACAGGGTCCGAAAGATGTGTCGCCACCGGTCATTTTTCCTCACCACAAAAGGTTCTGTTGGCATCGCTCCAGTATCCGCCAGACCGGGTGATAAAGTCTGCGTACTTCTGGGCTGCGAATCTACCGTCGTACTTCGCCAAACAGAGGCGAAAACCTATCAATTTGTTGGCCAGTCATACATGTCAGGGGTCAATACTGGCGAGGTCCTGTTAGGACCCCTACCGGAACACCTACAGGCAGTCAATCGATATGATGCGAACGAGTTGGGGTATCGGTTTGCCTACTGGAATGAGCTCACAAAACAAGTACAATACGAAGACCCTAGACTGGATAAACTACTCATCAATCCCGGCTTTTTAGTTCGTGATCTGGGAGAGAACAGGGTTCCAATGATCCAAACTAGTGTAGAGGCGCTTCAAAACGCCGGCATCGC